AAGTGCTGGATGTTGTTGAACAGTGATTGAAATAACTAATTCATACTGAGTGTAATGTAAAGAAAGTATTAAATAGGCCATGAGATGACATAGAAATGAGGATGAATAAATTTAAATACAGGTAGGTCTATAGTATTATGAAGGTATTAAAAGGTAAAAGGTAAAGTTGTTCCTCTGCTCAACGAATTAAGCCCTACGCCATTAAGGCGTGTGGGGGAGTGGATGTATAGATCCAAATTTTCTTGACCTCGGCACTAGTTGGAGGTGAGTGGTCAGCTTCACGCCCCGGCCGCTTTACCCCCGGGGAAAGAGCCCCCGGTACCCATTGGATAGGAGGTTGGATGGACCCCAGAGCCGGTCTGGACGATTTGGAGAAGTTAAAATTCTTGACCCTACCGGGACTCGAACTCCGACCCTTCACAGTCGTCCAGCCCGTATAATAAAATTTGGCTTAACCGGGTTTTCGATTAACCGTGACTTCCATCCCCACCATTAGCCCGGATAATCGAGAGTTGACTGTATTTGAACTGTGCCACATTTTCAATTGATCTGTCAAATGAGCTGTCTTTATGTCATGATTTTGCCTTGCATTCTGGTGTCAAGATGGTGGTCACAGTAGCTATGCAGTCTAAGGCATGAACTGTGTTCGCTCGCTTGGACACTGGGATTATGGGTTCAAATCCCACTCAAGGCATGGATGTTTGGCGTGTGTATCCGTTTTTTCTGTGTTTGTGTTGTCCTGTGTTTAGGTGGTGACCTTGTGATGGGCTGATCACTTGTCCAAGGAGTCTTACCATCTGTGAAAAATAATTATGGAATTGAGTAAGAGGCCTGTGCCCTGCATGGGCTGGAAGAGCCAATGAGAAAAAATCTGGTGACCAGATGGCAACATGTACTTAGTTTTCTCTGCTTTTACTTCTAGACCAGCATCTTTACTAGCATCAATTAAGAGTTTCTGTGTTTTTTCTATATGGTGTCTATGTTATATCTCAATAGATTTACATCATCAGCATAGACCAGTAGCTGATGTGTCCTATTTAATTGAGTTCTACGTGATTTTCATGGACCAACCTAGTGGCATAATCTGATAAAGTTGAAAAGCAATGGCAACAAGCATCTCTTTTTGTTTTACGCCATTTTGAATAGGAACATGTCAGACAAGTGTTCCTATGCAGACTTTACTGGTTTCTTTTAAACTCATTTTAATCAGCCTGACTAGTTTCATTCACTGTGTGAGAATGCTATACAATACATGCTTTATTTTCTTGCAGCAAGTGCACACACTGGTGAGCATGGTGTGGATGAGTATCCTGATATCAGTGGAATTACCACTGCTAGGGTGAGTGATCTTTGGGGTTCTACTGTATGTTTGATACTACATTGAAATTTGTACTAATGAAGTTTCATATTTGTTTATGTATGAGTTTGAATTTGTATTTCTTGATTCATTTCTGATGTGGTCTTTACATAATTATCAAAGGTTTAAGTTTCTTGTTTGCTTATTGTTTCATTGTATTTTTATTTTGCCTTTGTGCTACTACCATTACTATTAACTACTGCTATAGACCGCACCATAGCCCAAGTGGTTAGTCACTGGCTTCCCACTGCGGTGGCCTGGGTACGATCCTGGGTCTGGTCAAGTGGGATTTGTGGTGGACAAAGTGGCGCTGGGGCAGGTTTTCTCCGAGTACTTCGGTTTCCACTGCCAATCTTCATTCCACCAATTGCTCCACAATCACCTTCACCTATCATCTGGGGCTGGTACAAGAGGCCAGAAGTGGCCGCAGTACAAGGGACTTAGTCCCACCCCACTAGCATTAAAAAAACGACTGCTATTATGACTTATTATTCTTACTTCTATCTCTACTACTGTAGTATTCTTAATTAACAAATTTATTTGCATTTTAATTTGACAACAGGAGGCAATGCGTAAGATGACAGAAGAAGATAAGCAGAAAATAGCACAGCAAGTGGAATACTTCCGTAGTGAGAAACTAAAATTTGATCGTGAGGTGGCCAAGTGGGATGACACTGGCAATGATATCATTGTTCTTGCCAAGCACATGTGTATGATCATGATGGAGATGACTGACTTCACTCGGTAGGACATCATACATTCAGTTTTGTTGTGAATGTTGTCATGACTGTGAAGTTGTTACATGAGTTTATGTACCTATTGATTTGATTTTGTGCAGGGGTCGTGGTCCTTTGAAAACAACAATGGATGTGATTAATGCAGCAAAGAAGATATCAGAAGCAGGCACAAAACTGGATAAGCTGACACGGCAGATTGCAGACCAGTGTCCAGAGTCCTCTACCAAGAAGGACTTGCTGGCCTATCTTCAGAGAATTGCCCTCTACTGCCATCAGATGAACATAACTTCCAAAGTAAAAGCTGATGTACAGAATATTAGTGGAGAGCTCATTGTTTCTGGGGTAAGAACTATAACTGAAATGACTGATCACAGTAAAACTGAATTAGATAAAAACCTGTCTTTACCATTTGATGTCCATGATCATCAATCAATCATTTGATCCATTTGATGCTGTATAGTCAGCTACTGACAGTGCCACTAAATAAGTCATACATGGAAACTAAAATAGTGTAATTTATCATGTAACACTGTATAACCAATGCATTGGCTAAGCAAAGTGGACCAAACCACACACCATTCAAGTAACGAACCAGAAACCATGGGACTGTATAAAAAAAATGGTAAAGCTCTCCCTATAACAGCCTGTGAAGGCTCATAGGGCTGTGAAATGTGGAGGTAGCTCCCACATTTTCTCTAGACCATCAGCTCACAGGTGGCGATAAGGTTGTCAGCCTTACATCCCAGCCGCCCTTTACCCCCAAGGGAGATTTCTATTGGAGGCTGAGTAGACCCCAGGGCCATAGTGCAACTGGAAGGATTAGGTGAATTGAAAAAACCCACCTCATCGGGACTCAAGCCCTCAACCTTCTGGCTTATAGCATAGTGCCTCAGCCAACTACGCTACCACATGACAGCCATGGGACTGTATAATAAATTAACATAGTGTGTTGTCATACTCTATGGATATTTAAACATGCTTCATGTTAAGTGGTTTTCTTGTCACCACAGCATGGCACATCCTCAGGTTGCAGATGGAGAATACAGCCTCCAGATATGGAGGGTAGCTGTGAATGTATTAAATAAGCAGTCACAAACATCCAGGAAGGGGTAGCCCCCAGCTGGTGGGTTGGGCATGGGGCTAACAACTCCATGCCTTAAAAATGGTCTCTTACAAAATGTTACACAGGGCTTCAGACTTGGCATGTTGCATGCTGGGGAAGTTTGGTGCAGAAACTGGGAGGAGAGAACCACTAGGAGGATCTAGACATAGGTAGGAGGATAAAATTAGAATGGATCTTGGAGAAGTAGGATGGGGTGGTATGGCCTGGATTAGTCTGACTTCGGATAACGACCAGTGATGGGTTCTTGTAAACACGGTGATAAACCTACATGCTCTGTAAAATATTGGGAAATTTTTGAGTAGCTGAGTGACCTGTAGTTTGTCAAGAATGACTCAGCTTCATGGAGTTAGTCATTGAACATAATTACACTAAATTAAATAAAAAAGATAAAACCAAATGACTTTAAAGTGTGGCAGTGAGGTTTCATGACTTTTAAGAGTGGGAAGGCAGTTCCCTGATTCTGTTGCTGTTATATTAGCTAATGGGAATGCAAGAATGCAGTATAAAAAATTTTAAAGCTTGATGATTGTTGACAGCTGACTTATTAGCATAATGGTAGAAGTGATTCTAGTTTGTTGAAGAGGAAGAAAGAAATGCATGAAGGTTTCTTCTCCTGTGTGCTTTTTGGTGGCTAAGAAACCCAGTTTCTCTAGTTTCACAAGACACACACTAATTCATGTGTTGCAAAATATATATTTTTTTTTATTGCTAGCGGAGTGGGACTAAGTCCCTTGTTCTGCGGCCACTTCTGGCCTATTGTACCAGCCCCAGATGGTAGGTGAAGGTGATTATGGAGCAATTGGTGGGATGTAGATTGGCAGGGGAAACCGAAGTACTCAGAGAAAACCTGCCCCAGTGCCACTTTGTCCACCACAAATCCCACTTGACTAGACCTGGGATTGAATCCGGGCCCCCATGGTGAGAAGCCAGCGACTAACTGCTTGAGCTATGGTGCGGCCATGTTGCAACATAACTGAAAACTAAAAAAAAGATCTGCAGGAAGTGCCACTTTAAAGAAAATGAATACTTATACCAGTGCAAAATGGGCTGGTATGGTCAGGTAGGCATTACGCTGCTTGGAGGTGATTATGTTAAATGAGTGATTGAATATTCTGCAGTAAATTTTCCCAGCATTTATAAGATTGCCAAAAATGTGCACTGTGGGGTTTCATTTTTTCCTGGCATTGTATTTTTATTCGGTTTTTACATTAAATATTTGTTTGTTGTTTTTTTTTGCAGTTGGATAGTGCAACATCACTTATTCAGGCAGCAAAGAACTTAATGAATGCTGTCGTTCTAACCGTGAAGTCTTCATATGTTGCATCTACAAAATATCCACGCCAGGGCACCATCTCAGTGAGTTATTTATACCTACATATTGTAATATCAAAGATAGAGTGACAGACTTCAAATAAATGTCACATTATAAACTCCAAGTTAAGCTTGAACATTTTACTGTGTCTAGTAAGATTTATGAAATTGGTATTCTGTCCCACTTGTAAGGTTCCATCCCTTCCAAGATATTTAAAGCTTTTGACTGTCACACCTTCTCCATATAAACTGTGCTGCCACTGGGAAAAAGTTTATTGGAATATTGTTTTTCTGTAATTGTGTCTGTCTTCCAAATTGTCACTTTCTTGCCAAAATTGTGTATGCAGTTCTTGTCTCTTAATCTTGAGTTAGCTATGTGGCAATACTAGAAGAAGAGTGCATAGTATAGATCACAGAGTCCCTTACATAAATTCATACACTCTTCATTTCAGTTTTCATGGGTCTTGAACATTCTTACATTTTGCAATACAGCAGACCACCCCATATCTATGATTCCAGTATATGAAATTCAGTTGCTATACCTCCATGCCATTCCATTTTGCTGAAGACTGTGTCGTTCGACCAGTCTGTTGAAACATTTTGCAGGAATTGGTCATGAATACTGCGTTATTGCTCTGACGTCATATAATATATAAATTATATGTGCATGTTTTGTCATTTTTAATATTTTGACTGGTCCCTATAATGATATCCAGATGTCTGAAACCTCCTGTCTGGAATGTCCTGCTTGCTGACTGTTCTAGGTATGAGGTGCTTCATGGAATACATGTTCTTTCTTCAGGGTATTGCATTATGCTTGTTGGCTTGTAATTGCACATGGAAAAGAACAGTATTTAGTGTTACTCTGTGCTTAAAATTGAGCAGAAAGTTTTGATGCACATGGTACCTGGAAGGTGTAGATACAGATATGTGAGATGTTTCAGCCTAAGGCGCCAAAAGGCAATCTGATGCCAGTAATAAACAAGAAACCTCATATTTTGACCAATTAGAAAGCAGTTATGCCTCAGTTTGTGTTCTGTATTTGATAACAGCTTCTCTGTACAGGCAGTTCTTATGAAATGAATGATACTAGTGAACTGTATTTTTTTTTTCCTTTGAAATGGTCGGCAGTAAAAATGGAATCATTGTGAAGGAAATGTTCCAGTGTATAGAAAAGTTTTTAAGTCATATCCTTAACACATTTTGATCAATACTAAGATATTTCTGAAAAAAAAAATATGCTGTTGGGGTACTGTTTCTTTATGGCTGATTCTGAACTCCAAAACATGTCACATCTTTGTAACTGCTGATGGTGCAATGTGTTCATTATAACTATCAATTTTGAGTGTTGATTAACACTGTATACTTGTTTTACACGCAGTTACAGAACATGCTTAACATGAAATGTAAATATTTTATCACGTGTTTTGCACAAAGAGTGCATAAAATATACACATTGTAGCATTCAGAGCTGTTACTATGCAACAGCTGCAAGATAGGCAAATATACCAGACCCGTTTTTAGTGGCTTAGTAAACACGTTCCCACAGCAACGAATTGACACACAACAATAAAATTACTGTTGGAAACGTGGTTTTCTATTTGGTCTATGCCGATGAGTTACAAGGAAGACATTTGGGGTGACCAGTCAGTTCTGTATGGGAGTCTGTGAAGGGTGGACTTGAGCCCAGAGGGAGAGGAATATCATTGTTGGAGCCATTGCCAGGAAACATCTAATAACAGACTGAGAACACTAGACTGTGTGCTCTAGTGAACTGTGAAGTGTGGAAGTAGTGATAGTGTTGTAGTTATTTGTTGTTACGACCTGTAAGTGATCAATAAATTCATTCACCAATCCAAATCCCATCTGTAGTCACTCATATGACAATATAATGCAGATATCATGGCTGTCCATCTGTCCACATATTTTGTCTCTGAAACTACTTAAAGACATTTCATCAAGCCTTATTATTGGAGATATATGCTGTTGTGAGAGTCAAATTTAATTCTGGTTTGAATCAATCCAGAACAACCCCAACTTTCATGTAGCTCAGAAAGAATGTTTGTCATACAAGAAATTGGTGCAAAACATAAAATGTGGTGCTCGGGATATATAACTTTTTTAAATATTTTTCAAGTTGTTGAATATTTAATACAGTAAATGAGAAAGTTGTTTGTTACTGTATGCAGTAATGTCTGTAGCATATATTGCTTTGCTAGAGTAGATTATACTGAGTAGAGTATAACTATAATGAAGGAACATTAAGATGAATGAGGTATAAAAAAAATTGCAAAGAACTAAGAATGGGGGGGGCATCTGCATTGCTTGGCCTGCGCAGGCCTTGAAAAAATTTGGAAATGAATTGCCCAGAACTTTTCTTCCAACCATAAATAAATACTTTAAAAAGGCCTCGGTGCAGAAAGATTTAGGTGACATTTACCGAAGGGTCATATGTAGGGCTGCTGTTAATAAAATAAGTGAATTACTGCTACATTACATGTTACTTTTGCAGACAGTTAGTACAGTACACATATATGGGTATATTTTTTAACAGAGTTTGCACGGATGATGAATGAAGTGATATTGTTTTCTGTTTTTGTTTGTAGGAAGTTACTGACTCGGGTTTTGTGAAGCGTGACTCCTCGTTCTTTTATTTCCCCATCACTCCGTCATATGCTATCCTTTACAGCGTGAATCTGGTTAGCGTTCTTGTTTTTGCATGCAAGATGATGTGTCTTCTATGTGGCTTCATATTCACAACAGCGTTTGTGCATGACTATTCACAGCATACTAATAAGAGTAGAAGAGAATGCAACAAGTTTAGAATAAAAAACTTCAGGAGTTTTCCATGCTCTTACATTTGTGAACCAACATATCAGAGATGTGCTAGACCAAATTCTGCTGTGTTATGTTGTCCCTGTGCTCAATGAATTAAGCACTACACCATGAAGGTGTATGGGGGGAGTGGATGTATGGATCCACATTTTCTTGACCTTGGCACTAGCTGGAGGTGAGTGGTCAGCTTCCCCCCTCCTGCCGCTTTATCCCCAGGTAAAGAGCCCCCAGTACCCATTGGATAGGAGGTTGGTTGGACCCCAGAGGCGGTCTGGACAATTTGGAGACGAGAAAATTCTTGACCCTACCGGGACTCTAACTCTGACCCCTCAATCATCCAGCCCATAACCAGTCACTGTACCAACTATGCTATCCTGGCTCCTTCTATATTCTGTTAAGAAGAAATAATAACTAATTTAAAAACACAGGATCGTAAATCCTTCAAGCTATTTTATCAGGTTGTAAGATAATGTAGGAGGTTGCAATGGGCAGGGCATGTAGCTCAGATAGAACTTTTGTTGAAAGACCTTTTGGAAAGAGGCCGCTTGGAACATTGGGAAGTGGATTGGAGGATTGGATATGAATCTTGGCAAGAAATACTGGGGAATGGGATGTCGGGAAAACTGGATGTGTATCTTGTTTGATAACAAATTTGGAATTATGATGTTGGGAATTGAGTCTTTAGGTTCTGCTACCAGAAAATTATTTTTTGATAAAATGTAATAACAGATGGTTAATGAGCAGTTGTATTAATTGGACTAATCTGATTGCAGCAGCCCTGTAGGCAACTAAAACTCTGTTCTTATGCATGGGCAGACATTCATATTTTAACTTAGGAGGGCGTTAATATTGTTAGCAATGCTGGAATATGTACCTGTTGTAAATCTATGCCAATGTCCAGAAAATAAGTACAGTAGAACCTGGTTATAACGTCATCAAAGGGACCTAAAAATAGTGTCGTTATAAACGAATGTCGTCGTAACCGAAATGGGCACTTCCACAGTAGCCTTATGTTAGTCGCGTAAAAATCTACCAAAAACCGAGTTAAAATGTTGCATTTTTTAGTGAAATACATAGTTAAGTACAGACTAACGTAACATTAACATGGAATTGCCCAAATGTGTAATATCAAAGACATATTACAGCGCTTTTCACTGACAATACACACCGCACTAATACTGTATATTAAAGGTAGGCCTACTCACCAAATTACAGTAGATTACATCAATTGTTGTGCCTTACTGTACCTAGATACGAGTACAGTAATCAGTTATCTTCATCTGTTTCCTGTTACTTGCCCAATACACACTTTCTAAATTACGTTCAATGTCCATATCAGAGAAATTCAGGAATGAAAATGACGTTACATACGAGGTTGATGCATTTGTGCATGTCGTACTAAGCAAGGTATAAAAACAGTTGCTTTATGAGGAATTAGTTCGTACCATTAAATATTTGACGCAATAGACAAGGTGTCGCAGAAACCGGTGTTGCTATAACCAAGTTTTACTGTATTTAAATGTTTGCTTGTAAGTTCTAAAAGATTTCTTGAGGCCTAAATGGAATTAATTCTCTTGGTTTAACCATGTAATTGCTAAAACCAAAATGCGCTTATCCACCTTGTGCTTGTCTACCTTAATTTATAGAAATTATAGATCGTTTTTTACTTCTAAGCATTTGAAACTTTGAAAACAAATGAACAAAATGTGATATTAATTTAAAAAAAAAAGACTAGAAGATGTTCAGACATAAATGCTTAATAGATAGTGTGACAACACACAAAACTGTGATAGCCACAAAAAGAATACAATGACGGAGTTCTAGGTATGTGATGCAACAACAACAAAACGATGACGTGCCAGACAGCATGGAAGACAAGTAGACAGTACAGTGATCTCCTCACCAATCAAAAGTTTGCCTGATGATGGCCCATGTGTGGCCGAAACATGTTGCAAATTAGAAGAACATATATGAATTAAAGACATTATAAAGTATTTAATAGTCACTTTTAGTGTATACGATATCCATACAGTGTCTGAATGACATTTTATAACATTTAGTAACATTTTAAAGTATTAAAACTACACTTTTGATGAAGAACATGTTTTAGGTGTCTTTTATTTTTATCTATTTTAAATATTGTTGCAATATTGACGGTGTACATGATCCTGGTAGGATTCATGAAAATGTTATTGTTCCATATGGAAACAGCATAAGAAATTTGTTACAATGACACATTAGCGGATCTTACGCGTGCGTGCACACACACACACACACACACACACATGTAAGTTTATCTGCAGAGTTAAACTATAGCAGAGAAGTCTGCTGTTAAAATCTGTGATGGATGAAGACTGTCTTCGGGTTGTAACATGTAATAAGAAGCCAGGTTAAGATTGTAGATTTAATAGACTATGAACAAAGCTTTGTCAGTGGGTGAAATCTGCAGCTTTCATCTGGATTGGAGTATTTTTACCTCGGTTAAGACCCACAGTTTTGTCGTCAGTATGGAACTTATGTATTCATGTAAGAAAAGATGTATTGTTTAATGAGCCATGGTGTTCATGAACACATCAGAATGCTGTTTCAAATGGTGTATATGGAATTAAAACTATAATCAGTCACCTTTATTGTGCCAACTAAGAGAAAAATACTAATAATGTTACCAGGTTAGGAAATGTATAATGTTGTATTGCAGCATTCTTTTGCACTGTGTCTAATTTTTCCTTCTCCGGTGCAACTCACACTAAAGTTTTAAAATCCAGAATTTAAATTTTTTAAAGTCTTTAGCTCTTTCAGGTTGCATATCATATGAAACATCTACACAAGGCACAACAGAAGTCCACAAAAATATACCAGTCACTAACCCATGCTGCACAACAACAACAAAAGAAGGAAATTATACCTCAGAATTGAAGATTAAATTGTAAAATCAGGAAATGAGTTATGACAGTATATAAAAGTGCAGCAATTTCACTAGACAATTTTAATGCACCTGATGATGGCCAGACAGGCTGAAACATGTTGTGTGAAATATAACAAATAATGACACACAACCTGAAAGAGTTGGGAGTTTTAAAATTTTAAATTTTGAATTTTAAAACCTTTAGTGTGAGTTGCACAGGAGATGGAAGTGAATACATGAGAAAAGTAGGAAATACATATATATCATTGCAGTTCTGGAATGTTCACTGTCTTATTGCCTTTAGACTTTCTGTTTATAAATGCTAACCTTCAGTTCAGTGGTCTCTTATAAATATCATAAATCAGGTGGTGCAGTTCAGCAAGGACCTCAGGTATAGAATTTGATCAGAATCACTCCAGCAGTTCTTAAGTTGACATAGCATAGAACTAAATAGATTTTTTCTTAATTATCCCAAACTCTAAGATACAAAGAAAATTGTATTAAGCATAAAATGTGTTTTGTTTTCTCTGACATCTGTACAAAACATTTTTTGCTTTGTTAAATATGTAGTGAGTTATGCCTGAGGTGTGCACAGAAATTCATATAGGTCTTCATATATCCAATTTTAACAAGAACTGGAAAGTGTGTAGTAGAATTGCATTATCCTTCTGTGAAAATCCACGTAGTGGCTCTTTACTTGTTATATGTGGACAGATGGATAGAAATGCTGAAGCACGTTTTTGGACAACTTGCATTGCAAATGTACCAAAAATGCAAAATTATAAATTTTAATAATACAACCATGTCATGGTCCCCCTCCCCAAGTCTGATGTTTTCACCAGCTAGATTCATTTGTAGTTTGTTGTTTAGCTGAGTTGAAATAAACGGTGAGAATAGAACAAAACAGATTACTTTTCTAGTAGAAACTACCACAGGTCCGACCCATTCTAAATGTGTGTGTGTGTGTGAATAGCATGAATTAAGAAGTGCAGTTTCAGGCTCTGGGACATGTCTGAGCGGATCTGGACTGGTGTGATGCCTGTCCATGCATGCACTATGCACAAACTTATCTTCTCAGTCTTGGATCATGACACCCCAAAACTATCAAAAAAAGTCCGTGTGTTTGGCTGCCTATTTAACTAATTTCTTTCGCAAATAGGATGTCGTTATTTGTGGCATTAATAAACATTTCCAGTTGGATATGAAGAATGTAAATTAAATAAGTGCATGTATGTCTAGCAGTCAGTTTGTCATGATTATTTCAAGTGAAGAGGTTAGGTGTAAATGATCAAGTTTGTTCATTGATTTTTAAATAGAAGTATGGTTATGATATATTTATTTCTGCTGGAAGATTATGAAAATTAACATAATGTTGTATTTTAGCTTCCTGTTGCACTGATTCACGGCCATGATGTTTAAATCATTTTATAAACGACACATGATGGCGAGCAGTGCAATAGTTTAACGTAAATGAAACACCTGAGGATGGCACAGTGATGCCGAAACATGTCATGAAGTGACAAGTGAGATTGTGTGCACTAGAAGACGGGCAATACATACACATCATGGACGAAAATTGACGTTTTTATTTTTATTCCCATCATATCAGTTAATCACCCTGTAATGTATTTGGGAGGTGCTGTGTTGGTTTCTTGGCTGGAACACTGGCTATCCTGACTGAGGTTTTACATGGGGTTTCCTCAGTTTCTCCACTCATATTTCAGCATAGTACCTTGAGGCTGTGATTGCTTCCTTCCAAATCCTTTCCAGTTCATCATTCATCAGTCATCCTACCATTCAGTGATATGTAGTCTAGATATTGCCAGTACTGTAAAATATAAACAACAAAATAAAACATATTTTTATGAAACTTAATATACAGTATTTCCATTGTACTCATTTGAGTGTTATCATCAGGTTTCATTCTTTGTAATTCAGCTTTTTTTGGGTGTATCGTGCTAAGTATTTACTGGAGACAAAAACACTGAACAGGAGATAGTAGTTACCTGTAAAATATGGTGTTGTACTCTGAAGAGTAGTTGCTCCATGCTCGCTGATTCGGAGAAAATCACTTGTGTAATAATGATACTTATTAAGTATATGTTAATGAAAGAATTGCCCAGAATTCTGTATTTGCCCTTCTTGTTGTTTACTGAATTACACTTCATGAACTCCTGTTCCCACATATACTTTGACAGCAGATATAATGTATAATCAAAATGCATCGTATTAATTCCATCCGCAGAGGGTTCATTTGCTTATCAGTTTGAAAACGGATGGTGGTTGTAACTACAGGTCCAAAGTCTGTTCATATTTTCAGTGTGGAAAGCTTCTTCTGTGACCTGTGGAGGATTTGTAGAAATTGAGTAACTTCTGTTATGAGAAAAAGTGTTGATGTTGAGTTAGGGCATTGTGAGACTTCTTTGATGCCAGAAAAGAGCACTCCTTTAAGCAACAGCTACTTTCATTGACTACAGTGAATCTTTTGGATAGTAGGCTTGGTGGGTCAGTGGGTTAGTGTGGACATGATGGCAAAGATAAAAAATCCCTGACCCTACTGGGAATTGATTGCCCCCCTGATCTAGCCCATGGGCAGTCACTTCACTGTACAAACTATCCCATCTCATAACTGTATTAAAGACAGTTTACAGATATTGTTAATAGAAAATAATGTGGGTAAAGAACACTTTAATTAAGTTCATTAATTCCAGCACGGACTTAATCTCTTTTTTAGTATTAAAAATTTTGTGTATTGATAGTGATTTTGCTCTGTTGGTTCTTATTCACACTTTGCTTTTATACATCTTGCAGTCACCAATTGTAGTGTGGAAGATGAAGGCCCCAGAAAAGAAGCCACTTGTGAGACCTGAGAAACCAGAAGAGGTGCGTGCCAAGGTGCGCAAGGGGTCACAGAAGAAGGTTCAGAATCCTATTAAAGCGCTCAGTGAATTCCAGAGTCCCACTGAGTCAATCTAAGTGGTAATGCAGTCTCTTTATTGATCAGGTAACTTTTTTTCATTTTTCATTCTGAGCAAGGACACATTTTGTTGTGTTGTTGGTCCTTAGTGAATAAGACTAATAAATGGCATGCAGTATAATGTTATTTTATATAGTAATGTCCTCTGTTACATACTGTATTAACATGACTAAGATGACCCTTCCCAACTGTACATTTTGAGAAAAGGTAATTTTATAACTTATTCAAATAGAATTCTTAGATACAGTTCTTCTAAAAGAACTTATATTTCTTCAACTTTCATGTATTGGCCCAAATAGATGAACATAATATATTGTAACGTGTTTACGTTACTGAAGACGCCGTAGAGATCGTTAACTGGTTTATTGAACAATCTAGAACTATCGGCTACACTTAATTATCACAACGTTACGGGTTTCCACAGTTTACAAACCCTACAACACAATCTCTTAACACAATCTTCACTTGTCTTCACGTACTGATAACGCGGGAGCTATACAAGTCTCCCTGAAATACACACTCCGAGTATAACTGTACTACAGCAATCACTATATCTGGAAAGCACACAATAAGTCTTCCGCTCGCTGGCTTCTTAGTTATCGCACACTCGCAGGCTGCTATGTTTCAACTGATGATCACACTGCTGTGGAGTCTGCTTATATAGCCTTGCGCTGTTGCTAGTGTGACGTGGCGTATAGCATAGGACGCTGTTGCTAGCGTGACGTCACCGCTGTTGATTAGCATTGCGTAGTTGCCAGGTTACGGGGCTCGGCTATCTTCGGCTCCGCTCGGCTCTCTTCGGCTCCGCTCGTGACGTCACCGCGCGTTGCGCATTGCGGGGTGATTACTCGCGTATTACGCGAGCGCTCAGTTACCGCTGAGGGGTGGGAGGGGAGCGCTGACTCACCCGCCGCGTCACTGCTGGTGTGGGGGGGGGCTCAGATTTCGCAACATGTCACAATATTTATGGTGAACTTGTACCTAATATTTGCCGATTGTCTGTGTTTCCTTGCTGTCTACTGGCCTCAGAAATGTTGTATTTCCTCAGTGCCCTAGTATTATTACTCTTTCTAACACTTGTTATTATTGTTATTGTTATTGGAGGGGGTGGGTTTCCCCATGCACCGCGACTAATAGTCTATTGTACGTCCCCCTTTGATATTCTACCAGTCACCATACCCTACCAGTACTGGTGCGTGCTATCAGCCCCGTTCAGCCAACGAGGTCGGCCCTCGGTACCTCGATACTTCCCCCATCTACCGGAGGCATTGGAAACTACTTGGGCGGGAAACTTGCCTAATATTGCTCAGAGGTCTCCTAGAGACATGAGGATCTTTTACGTGCTGTAAATCTACCACATGGGACTCATGGCTTAAAGTCCCTCCCGGAGGACTTGTTCCCTGAATTTTTCCATTCTTAAAAATTCCATTACCTCCACCAGGTTTGAACCCGCGTACCTTGAGTCATGAGGTGGGAATGTTACCCCTAGACTACGGAGGCCACTTTCTAACGTACTTAAAAAACATTTGTTTAAAAGTGACATCATTTATTCTGCAAGAAGGAAGGAATGTATGTAGTGAGAGTCTATTTTACTCCCTGACCTTCTGTGATCATGTTGCATGACATTCATCACCACAGATTGAGCAAAATTTCGTACTTGTGACTTATGTCAGTATTCAGCTTCAAGCATCATTTCATTGGGTTAGCTGGAAAGAGAGAGAATAGATTATTGAGATGATTGAAGTATTGAGGTTTGTGGATACGGCCATGAACTGTGTCTGCTCGTCTCAATGGATAGGTTGGGGAGAATACAGTTTTGCATTGCTGGTCCTCAGTGTGTCCAAAACATTAAGCTGTTATGATATGAGTCAAAGATCATAGATCTGTGCCCAACAAAGTTGGGCAGTGGCATAATGTCTTTTCCTTGTTGACTGCTGGCAGTGGAATATCCCATTCACTGACGGAGAGCTGTGCCCCCATCACTGGCCATCAGTTTCCTTGAGAAGACATTTCCTCTCCCTTGCCTTCTTCTGTTAGCCAGACCATTTACTCTTCTTGATGGACAACGTACCCACCTGCATCAAGAGACCTCTTTCATTCTTACCATCATGGTGCCCAAAGAGATGACAGCTGCTTCTCAGAAGCAGAGGGTTTCTGAGCCCTTTGTTGTGAGGGGAAAATCTTATCTTGAATTAATGATGGCAGATATCCACAATCACTGTCATTTACTGGAAGGGACATATGAGCCCCCACCACTGTTCCTATCTAAGATCACAACCAAGAACAACATTTGGGGCTTCAGTTCATTATGGAAGAGCATTTATGTACCTTGCCTGCTTTTTTTATTAGCCCAACCAGTTCTCCTTTTGGGTAGTCTGATTATTCACCCCTGTTGAAAGACGTCTTACAGTCTTTCCCTTAGTGTACCCCTCACAGAGCCCTTGTGATATTCTGACTGCCTTTCCATGACTGCAGAAGACCCAGCATCTGAGCCCATAAAGGGGGGAGGGAACAGCTCACCCCAGTGCACTGATGACTGGGAACCTTCAGCTGTGCTCTGTGGTATACAGCAGTGAAAGCAGAGTCCCCATCTGGTCCAAGCTAGACCCATGGCCAAGAGACCTTATACATTGGACCTACGACCAGAGCCCCTGAGAATGTCTCCTTGCTCTCCATGATGACAGAAGTCTGAATTCTTTCATGCAGGAAGTGAAAGCTGTTCCCCCCTGTCATGGGGTACTGACAGTGGGGACCCTCAAGTCACCCCATCATTGCACCCAAGGATAACAGAACTGCCACCTGGTCCCAGCCAGACCCATAATCAAGCACCAACTGATGCCCGAGCCCTCAGTTGGGGAATTTTCCTCTGCTTTCTTGTCCAGTTCTTGATGGTCAGATTACTTACTGCCATTAAGAGATCTCTTTCATTCTCAGCCTTTACAAGGCCCCCTTACTGAGCTCTGAGAGAATTTGACCATTGCTGCAAAAGACCCAGGAACTGTGCCCTCTCATGCAGTTTTATAGGGACCCAGAGTTCAAATCATCCAACTGCAGTGGAGCCAGACATCAGTGCACTGAACCTCCCTGTTGATAGTCCTATAGTATTTGCAGTTTGCCTCTGAAACATTAGACTCAGAATGGTCATAAATTTTCAGCACATTCCTTTACTGTACTTTCAACTTTGCAGCGTCACACCTTTCCTGAATTCAGACATGTAAAACAATGGAAACAGAAACATTCTACTACCACAAAAACTGGGAAGAGACAGTTTTTCATTTCAGCAAGTAATCAAGTGCAACAGTTGGCAGGTGTGATTGGCTGAGTATGCTGGGAATATACAAGACATCCTAATCCCTGACAATTATTTCTGCAGACTTTTTATTCATGTAACTTACATCCCAGTGACAAGTTAATTGTGTAGTAGTGGTGGTGATGGTAGTAGTAGCAGTAGCAGTTATGACCATGACAGTTACTGATGACATTGATGTGACAGTAACACAGCACCAATAACAGTGATGGTGATAACTAGATAGATGGTAATCATTACATTCTTTTCTTTATTTGAAACCTACTTCATAATGGATGACATTGAATCCACAGCATTGGTGTGTTCCTGATGTAAGATATCACTGAAATTAGGGATAACAGATTGCATGAATTTCCATACACTTATTTCACCTAACCTTGAACATCTGAACCCACAATACTATATTTAGTTTGGCTAACAAGTTGGTGTTCTGTTTCTGTGCATAATTTTATTGAAATGTAGAATTGTTGCACCAGCTGGAGTGTCATGTACACGGGTTAGTGTAATTTGAGGAAATCATTGAGAATTTTAATTGACAAATATAATTTTATGTACGAGGGTAAGTTAATAAGTAAGTTACAAATGGATCTATAACTTAAATAAGAGTACTGATTTGAAAATTGCTTTTATTTCTCAACATAATCTCCCTGTACATTGAGGCACTAGTCCTATTGTTTCACAAGCCCCTGAAAAACAGAAGCATAAAGTTCTTTGGGCTGCTGTTGGAACCAGGCATGTTCAATGGCCTACCCCATAATGCATGACAGGTTAGGTTTTCACAAAGTCTGTGCATGATGGGTGCCACGCATGCTGACCCCACAACACAAAATGCAAAGAATGGGTCTGACATTACAGCATCTCAATCGCTACCACGATGGAGACGATATGATAGCCCGAATTGCCACAGGTGACGAGTCTTGGGTTCACCATTACCAGCCTGAGACAAAGTGTGCGTCAGTGCAATGGAAACATCCTGTGTCGCCCGCCTGAAAGAAAGTTTAAGGTGACACCATCCTCCAGGAAAGTGATGTACACAGTCTTCTGGGATCACGAAGGCATACTGCTCACCGCATTCCAACCTCAAGGAGAAACCGTAAATGCCGACTCCTACTGTATTCCTCAGGAAACTTCATAAGGCCATTCAATGGAAACATGCAACCTGTCATGCATTATGAAGTAGGCCATGCCGTGTGAACCCGCCTGGTTCTGACAGCAGCCCAAAGAATTTTATGCTGCTGGTTTTCAGGGGCTTACGAAACAATGGGACAAGTGCCTCAATGTACAGGGAGATTATGTTGAGAAATAAAAGCATTTTTCAAATTAGTACTCTTATTTGTTTAAGTTCTATATCCATTTGTAACTTACTTATTTACTTACCTATGTACTTCTATTCTTAAGTAGTTGACAGCCATAAAAATAATTATAGTAAACTGTGTTCCACATTTGAACTACATTTTATTCTTTTGAACTTGCTCGAATTTGAGAAACTGAAGAATCCTGACTCTTTAGAATTCATTATACAGAACATAATGACTAATGGATTGTAATGTGTACTGTTCTTGCTCAGCCTAGCTTGACCAATCAAACTTCTGTTGTGTGATCTGTATGCCCCTGACATTATTTTTACCATGTGTGATGTAGTCTCCATCCTAACAATATTGAATAAATGAAAACAAATTACACTGCCTCTTATAAGTCTCTGCTAACATGTCAAAATATATTCCCATGGTAATAATACAAGATTATGACAGATCTTTATTATGTAAACTAATTTTCTCCTATCACTTTCAGTCTTATAATAATCTGATTCTAAGGTATCACTCTGATTTTAGATTGTATATTTCAGTAAACATGTTACTTCCCAAGAAAGTATCTTTCATGTCCTTACTGGAATTGTTATGTATGGGAGATGATCGCTAATGGTAATGGAGTCTAATTAGTCAAGCTGTCCTGTATTTTAATCTGTCTGTTAACACCAAATTCAATCATTCATTCTTCACATACAGGTAGATCCTGCATTGATACTGAAAAGTTAGAAGTCTTCATTTAATTAAAACAGCTCAAACATGAAATGACAAAACAAATTAACTGCGGACATGAAAGCCTTTGACTGTATTACAAATTATGAGTTTGAACTCTGTTATAGAAGAATTTGATGTGGCTTTGGCAGTTAGACAATAATCTTGGACTTGACTTGTTGTAAGTTAGATGAGAAGGGGAGGAACACTTACCGGTAACCATAGCAAAGGTTCACAGGAATACTGATGAAGGCCAAGATATTATTTATTCATACGCCCTCATTTTCCATTGGGAATTAAAATAAAAATAATTTTACATTTCATGTGTTCCATTATCGTGGGTGAAATATGAGTACATCAACAAAGAAAGTTTGCACCCTAGTCTGAGAGGGTTAACAGCAGATGTAAAATTGAAGCCAAGAATCATTCTCTGTCATTTCTTCAATTTTCTTAATCTGCAACTTCACCTTGCCAGCACACAGATACAGAAAGCAAAGAAATATGAAGGAAGAATTGTGATGGTCATGGCATGAATTTTGAGTTAATGAATGTGTGAAGAGGGGGATGGTTGTCTGGGTTGTAATGACATGTAGTTTGGTAGGTGTCCACTGATGTTTTGGAGGAATGTGTTGCCCCCATCTTCAGGAATGAAGAGTAAGCCAAGCAAGAAACAAGCAGCAAGGAGAGTCTTTTTCTGTGGACGTCTGCTGAACTACAGGGTGATGCAACACAGATCATATTCTATAATTGCCCTTATGAGAACTTCAGATCCAACTTTACATGAAGAGTTTAACAAACATATAGCTGTTTGTTAGCAGTTATTTGTGGATGAGACCTCTGCAGTTGATCAGAGAATGTGTTTTGCTAGATGTATCAAAAAGAGAGTGATATTTTTCATTTTCAGTACATCATGCACCCAATTTTTTGTTCACACAGAAATATGCATGAATTAAGCATTGAAATATAGTAAATCATTTCTGTCAAAAGCGTTTGCTTGTTATGAGGAGAATAAATTATGTCATGTTTATTTAACAGTACTCTTGTGCTTCTTCCTTTCGCACATTATTTGATCTTTTATAACAGGCGTTATCTGATTTAGTTGTTCAGCAATACATGAACAATGTGGCCAGATGTTTTATGATGTTACCAGTTAACTTCTTCCTTGAACCTAAAAGTGTGGTAGATCTGGTCTGAAGTAGCACACATCAGGCCTACTACTCTTTTAGTAACTTTTAACTGTCATGTATAAAACCCTATCATTCTCATTTCTTTGTACTGAATGTAATTGTTGGGGTCCAATTCATTTTAACCAGTATGGGTATATAACTATTTGAGTGTTGATACTTTTATAAACGTTTCCAAATATTAGAGTAACTTTGTGCAGTATTAGAAGTGTAGGATGTTCAGAAAATGATGTCCAGATTTATTGAAGGATATGTCTGTGATATTTAATTATGAATCATTGATGACATAAGTGATGGAAGTTACTGATAGGTCCCTCCAGACTCAGATTGATAAGGGTAGCTACTGCTTAATTGTTATTTTTACTTCATTCTTAAATTTTATACTTATGTTGTACCCCAAACATGATGTAATCATTTAGAGAATATTTTATTTATAATAATATGGCTTCTGTTGCAAAGATATGGCATTAATATAATTAATTTAATAAAAGACATTGATGAACTGAAAAATCTCAGTCAGTTACCTCTTTTTATAAAAGATGTACATCAAACCATATCCTCTAGAGCAGGGTTCCTAAACTTTCTGGTATGGCAACCCACATTTAATGGTTATTGATATGCATTATGAATTTATTGTCACCTGAATTCTGGAGCTTTGTCAGTCATTATCTCATGTACTTAACTGCAAGTTTACATGTTTTTAACAGTTACTAGAGACATCCGGACAAAAATTTAATCAACTCTCCTATTGATGTGGAATTTGTTGAAATATTTATGGTATTTACATAATTAGTAACGGTTTTGCTTATGTGATGGAAAAACTGAAACCTCCTGACTGCAGGATATACTGCTTGATTGGTTACAGAAATTTATTTTTGAATCATATGGTAACACAAGAAATAATAAGTATAATGAACTAAGGGTGTTTTCATTTGACTAAGTATGAAATCCATGGCCAGTATCAGCAGAATGGCTGAGCTTGCATTTTGCAGAGTAGGTGAATGCAGGATTACATGATTATCAGTCTTGGTCTCAGATCATTGTTGATGCTTAGACTTCTTTGTTTCATCTTCATAGTAGTCATTCCTGAAAAACCTGTCTCACAAAGCTGTGCAGCAGTATATGACAGCATCACAGATACAGGTGTATTGGTAAGCTCTAGATACTCAGTTTTAACATGAAATTAAACTTCAGTAATGTTATTTTCAGTCTGTTGACCCTGATAATTTGCAAACATATATTATTCAAAAGAAATCCATGTACTTCTTGTTATAACTCAGTCACTGCAGCACACGAGTAATTGGCAGTCCCAGTTGATTCATTCACATCAGCAGATATCACAGAAATCTGATAATTAACGCAATTATTCAAAAGGGGACTGCCACCATCTTACCTACTATACTATCTCATAAGAATGCTTTCACCATGTGTACATTGGATAGGAAAATAAGCTCTTCATCTTTAACATCGTATTACATAGGACGTGTGTATCTGGAGGATGAGCAGGTCATTTGTCTCTGAATAGCAGTATGTTCCTTTTTGCAGCACTCACCTTGGCATCCAGTGACGCTAGAGAGTTCTTGAGAAGTTCTGATGTTATCCCTGAATTTGAATTATTGATGTACTTACAGGGCAGGGTCCTCACATTCTTGAAACACCTTGGTTTTTTCTAACTGCCCACCACTAGTGCTTGAAACATCTCACTCCAGTCTGAATTTGAACATAGAAGAGCTGCTGTCCTCTCCTTACTCTTCTTTTCCAGTGTCAAGCTTCTCCTCTAACCGAAATTATCTTCTGGCGATAAATGGATCTTTGAGCAGTCTACCATGTTTTTCACAGAATTACTGGGGTTTTGGACATTTTCCATCGTCCGAAATTCTGTGTAATAGAGGATACAGTGTTTCAGAAACTGGATCTGTTTCCTTCTTCAGGTGAGAAAGGAAGAAACCTACTCAATTGGGCCCTTTAGGAAGAGCTAATATTTCCCCCCCACCACAATGCTGAAACTGCTTTCAGTAGGCCAGACTGGGTGTACATATCTGTCTGTATCCCATTTCATGTATGTTTCTAGTGCTTCACAGGTTTTATCAGTTCCTCCTATACATATATAGTCGGGCCTTGATTATAGAGTTTTCGCCTTTTCTGTTTTGTGACTTTCAGGGAATGTATCCTTCAGTGAATATGAAACATCTCTTTTTTTCTGTCCTCTCAGTCCTTTGAACCCAGTTCTTAACAGCTACTACTGGAATATGATGGCAAAACTGCTAGATGTAAAGTCAAGTTTTAACAATGTTGTACATTAATGGTCTTTCATTGGAACATGAGTGCTTCTCTGATATGGACTTTTTACAGCTAGTCCATAAAATTGTAGGGAGAGTAATTAAGAGGTCTGTCTTCTGGTTTGAATCACTGTGTAGTCCACTGAAACTCAGCCGATATCTCCATGATAACATTGGCTGACTTCAACAGACTACACAGCATTATATCCCAGAAGACAGAACTCTTCAAAGGTACTGCTGTGAGAACCTCACATCCTGTGTAATGAAAAGAGTCCATCAGACAGAACTTATTCAGAAGCAGATGAGTGAGAGTAGTGTTCTAGAAAAGTTCATGCTGCTAGATTTCATATGCAAAATGACAATGATGTGGGATGTGGTGAAGTAGACTGTATGATTGCTAGTTATGAGGCCAGACAATTGAAATAGACAAAAGCAATAATGAAGAAACAGTGTTCATTCCATAAGATCAGAGAAACGTTCATGTGCTAATAAATGGACTAAAGGATTATACAGTTATTTGGAACAAGAGGACACATTCTTTTTGAACAAAACTGGTATTAATGTAGTCTCAGAACCACAACAAGAATGAACTTGTATAATATTTTTCAGGTTATCAGCTCCAGTTCCCTCTTCCATTGCCATATATAATTGAGAGTCTGCTGTAATGGATGTACAAGTAGTTTAAGTGAATTTCTACATTGGAGGAATGCACATGTTTTGGAGTTGCTGCACACAAGTTAGCTGCCATTATATTTTCAGGTCTCTGTTGTTAACTACACGTATTCGAGGAAATACTGGAATATCATTTCTGCTTTTGCTTTCTGCATGCCTTTTAACTGGATTTTGTTCACAGTACTCCCAGTGCTTGCTAAAAAATGTAGAAATAAATCACATAAACACATGTAAGATTTGAGGCTTTCACGGCGGTGACTATCGGTGACTATGAAGAAAGCAGTCTTCTGGGATTTGGCACCGTGTATATGTGGTGTTAACCGACGTTTCGGAGGAACGTATCGCCTCCATCTTCAGGGTAGAAGAAAAAATATAAGAAATCTGCAAAGCGAAGAGACCGGTTCTCACGGTCTCTTCGCTTTGCAGATTTCTTATATTTTTTCTTCTACCCTGAAGATGGAGGCGATACGTTCCTCCGAAACGTCGGTTAACACCACATATACACGGTGCCAAATCCCAGAAGACTGCTTTCTTCAGATAAACACAGTTGGCTAGTGGCAATAAAATTCCAACATTCATATGTTCATTCATTAATATAGGATGTAATTTTTATAGTTCCCTAAAAACAGTTTCTGAACAGCCTGTAGGTATTAGTTCAGTTTATTCTGTATGAACAGAAGTACATTTTATCATTGTGTCTTCTGAAGTTTTAGTAACAATATAAAAAAATAATGATGAGTTATTTTATTAGATGCCATTCTGAAGAAATTTTAGGCTAGTCATGTAGTGCATAATTATTACTAGAAGTATTGTGATTTTAAAGCAGTTACTTGAGGAGTGATTCATTTATATTTGGTGATCAGTGCTCAGCTTACTAAAGTGAAGCACTTAGTAAATTTAAAAAGCACAATCAGCTGTGCAGAGAGAAGCAGCAGGAAACCAGTGTACACAATGCATTGTCACTGTTTATTGATTTACACTTTTAGCATACATAAGAAGTTTTATACCTTTTTTTATTCAATTGTCAGGGTGGTTGCCTGCTGTATGGAGTAGATTATATTTTTATTGTAAGGTTTACTGTACCATTAGGAAGCAACCATACATATCATCTTTGTTGCACTGGAATGGTTGCTCTGTAACTTGTAAGATGGAATTTGAGTAATATTAAGAGATCTTAACGTAAACAGAGGAATGTAGTCTTCGATATGTTGTGAAATGTTTTATATCAAATAAAGTATAATTCATATCCAGTGCTTGTTTTTATTTACTTTCTAAGTTAGTTATGCTGTGCACATGAATGAATCTCAGAGTATTAACTGCATGGAGGAGGTGTGACGCTGGCTTCCCACCGCGGCGGCCCAGGTTCGATCCCAGGTCTGGTCAAGTGGGATATGTCGTGGACAAAGTGGTGCTGGGGCGGGAATTCTCCATGTACTTCGGTTTCCCCTGCCAATCTTCATTCCACCAAATTCTCCATCATCATAATCACCCAGGGCAAGTACAATAGGCCAATCAGTGGCCGCCGTGCTGAGTGAACCCAGCTTTGTAATTAGCCTGGCTGGGAGACCAAAAAAGCTTAAAGAGTAATATTTCCAAGAGAATGTGGGTCACAGAGGAGCTGGCCCTTTTTAACCTATTTTCCTCTTTTTAAAAAAAATAGAAGTAGGCTTGTGGGATCACAATGCTGACTCTGTCCTCCACCCCACCACCCCCCAATCAACTCTTGAACGACTGAACCAGTCTTTATGAAACTTGGTTTGTATATCATGGCACGTGAGCCCATCTCATTGGCATACTTCATAAATCCCTTCCATCAATCTGTGTGTATGTATCAGATGTCTTTATCTGATTACTGTTGCTAGGCAAAGGCTCAGTAATAAATGTTATCCCAGCAAAGAATACATGCAACAGTAGAAGAATAGTAGGGTTTGAGGTTCTCACAGCAGTTTATGGGTACTGTCTTCTGGGATATAATTCCATGTAAAGTGTTGAAAGTCAACCAACATTTCAGAGGAACATATCACTTCTATCTTCAGGTTCTTTGCTTGCCACCTGCTTTCACACTGATACCTTGCTCAGCTTGTTCAACCCTGAAGATAAGTGGAAGCCCCAGATTCGATATTTTTTGGTTCTCTTATTATTCTTCTGACGCTACTTTCTGATACATCTGTTGCCTTTGCTACTTCCACTCCTATGCTCTTCACTGTAATTGTTGGCCCAGCCTCTTTTGTATACTTATATACATTACTAACAATTTCTCTTGATTGTGAATGCAACAGCTTTCCACTCAATTTACTTCGTGTAGGTGGCATGTTAAAGGAGATAAAAAAGTGTACAAATATAAATAAAAAAAGAAAATCAATGAATAAAAATAAACAGTAAATAGAGAATAATACACAAATATGACTCCAAGAGTCAAAACTTTTTAACTTGATTGTACAAGGAAGAATGCTCTTGAGATGTATGCTCACACTGAATGACCAATCACAACACCCCTCAACTTTCACGAATGGACCTGTCCATCCACTGCGCAGCTTTTCCTGGACTGTCACTTCTAAATACTAAAACTTTACTTAATATACTTGAGGAATGATTGGAGAAGAAATAAAGGTGTATTATAATAGTGAATCACACAGGCAAGTTAAAATCAATAACTCTGTAAAACTACGTACATGTTGTACACTTAACCGGACACATTCTTCTGTTAAGGAATTACAAGGGACATGCTCTCACTCATATCCTTGAAGTTGTAAGAAAATAAAATGTATCTAGTGTGAGAGAGAGAAGTGATGTTGCATAATCCTGGAGATGCCTTATTTTATGTAGATAAATGGAAGAGTTAAGGCAATGGACTCATCATACAATAAACAAACATTAAATCCTCTTACAGTGCTTCAGCATTAGTTGAAACTTCCTCATAGAAGTCAAAACTGTAAACTGAATAATTAATATTAAGGTTTCACTGTTATTACACAAAATGAAAATTATATGCGTGTAAACTGTTAAATGTGTGTTTCAGAGTCGTGTTGTAATAGAGTACTCCAGCAAAGGAGTAACAGAATGTGACTTCAGTGCAGTCTAAACTCAAGCTTGTGATCTGTTGCTGAAACAACTCAAGCATTTTTGACTAAATTTACCAATTATGACAGAATGAAAGATTTAAGGAGCATGATCAGTTATATGGTAATAAATGTATGTACTTTACGTTATTGGTGTGGAAGGAAGTTTCATTTAATTATCAAGATGGAGAGACTTTGAGTGTGTTCAGACCATTATAGATTGTTGAATGTACAAGTTTCGGAAGTGTTAATAGGTTGAAGACCACAAGATGTATGGGAAAGAATTTTGGATATAATGCTTCATTTTTCTCTGCCATCTTTTGGTCAAAATTCTTACGACTTCAGCAGAGAAAACACCATTCCCAAACAGCTCCTCTGTTGTTAGCCTACTTTCCCTGTCTGTTTATTGTTACTAGGCAGCAGCGTGGTAAACACTGTAAGCACATTCTCACAGCAATGAATACAAATGTTACATTGGTAATAAAGTTGGGATTGGGCGCCAGTGGTTGGGTGACCATGTGAAGTAGGTAACATCATGTAGGCACCGCCTGATTGATAAATTATTGAGTAAATGGATAATTGGTTGCTGTAAACTACTAAGCAGAGTTGTTTGATGGCAAATAACTCCAGCGGCCTGGTGCTGCTATCGATGCTGAATAAATGCTGCTACAAGAAAGCTGTGATTATTGTTCTTCAAGCGCAAACAGTAGTACGTTACACTTCCTGAATTAATACACAAGTTCACTAGTTTTCAAGCAAAATATAATATGAGTAAATAATACCAAATTTAACTTATATTTCTAATTACTTTGGTTCAAGATGAAGTAAATATACATGTAGATTGCAAATGACTGTTGTCCAAGTTGTCTAGTTCTGGAATCTCTGAAGTGTAATAGTACACGTAGATTTAAAGTCAGGAATCATTAGGAGCACGTGAAAAATACGACTGACACCAACTAAGTCAAAACCTTTTCCAAGAGTCACTGCAGTCATGGCCTTCTCCAAGTCGAGTTATGACCCGTTTATGTCAAGCCCCGATAGTCCTGCCGCCAGGATACTCAACAATTTCAACCTCCAAAAGCACTGTGTTGCACCACACAATGAAGACGTAGGCCTATGGGAGAGAGGAGGTGTAGCTCTGCCATTAACACTAAATTTAATATCCAAATTTCCCAAATTGAAAAATGAAGAAATAAAAAAAATATATAAAATAAATCGATCACTAATTACCCTAAGTAAACATTAAAATATTTTGGGAAGTTTCAAAGTTATATTTGAAGTTTTCTGTGACTATCATTCTGTTTCATAATCAAATACATGAACATTAGAAATACGTATATACAATTTTTACTTTTGCAAGATATAAATTACGTTTGTTGAGAAAATGCAGGAAAAAAAAAATGACGACCCTGCCAGGATTCGAACCTGGAATCTTCTGATCCGTAGTCAGACGCGTTATCCGTTGCGCCACAGGGCCTGAGTCTGTACTTCTCTTTGTTGCATATAGGACACGGACTTCTCCCAATCTGTGCAGTATAAAAAAACATATTTTTAGTTCGTAATCAGAGCCTATGTTGTTTTCTTACAGTAGTTATGCATGAGTAAGTTTATATTCTTCCCCCTTTCCCCAGTAATAAGTTTGAAACCGTTAGATTCATTTTCAAAGACTGTGGACAATTTGAATTTAGAGACGATTAATATATTAGCATGAATGAAACTACATGAAATAATTTGTAAATTTAAAAAAAGAGAGAGAGAGAGGAAAAAAAAATTGCGCCCGAACAGGGACTCGAACCCTGGACCCTTAGGTTAAAAGCCTAATGCTCTACCGACTGAGCTATCCGGGCTTACTTTTGTATTGCTAGAGAATATTCTATACATACAAAACTATTATGAAAGACCTTTTTTGTTATTATTACTGTTATTAATTGTAAATGTGAATGGTAATTAATAAACAAAATTATAAGTTAAGTTTATATGGTGGTATGTTATTTCGTTCTTGCTCTATTTCTGTGACGCTTCGCTTTTGTGTAGCCAGCTACCGCGAGTGGCCGAATGGGTAAGCGGCGCGAAATTTGAATCGGCCTTGCGGGTGTTGTATTTTATAAGACCACAGTCTGACAGTCTGAGGGTCTGAGGTATGGTTGTAAGCCTATTTCTCCAATTTCAAGACACTAGGTTCTGCAAAGATTATGTTAGTGCGTTGGTTGGGGT